CAAAGTCTTGCGCCTGCCACAAAATCTGCACTCCAAGCGCCACAAAGTACTACACCTACCACGAAATCTGCACTTCAAGGCCCACAAAAAGTCCTGCGCCTGCCACAAACTCTGCACTCCAAGGCCCACAAAGTCCTGCACCGCAATGCACCCATTAGAAATAGACTGGTCCACCACATCTTTTTCCTGAGGAGATTCCCATCCAGGCACCTGCCGATCACTACTACTACTACTCCTCCTCCTGCTGCTGCTGCGCTGCTGCTGGTGCTACTGCTACTACTACTACTACTACTACTACTACTACTACTACTACTACTACCCCAACCACCCTCAGTGGGCTAGAATATTTTTTTTTTGATTCCCTTTTTATTTTTTTATTGATCCCCGTTGAATATTTTTTTTGACTCTATTTTTATTTTTATTTTGATCCCTTACCCATGTTAAAGCCAATTCAGGCTCCAAGTTCGACCGTATTGTGGCCTTGCCCCCGCTTGGCTAGTCCACATTACATCATGTCAAGGCTAGCTTGATCGCTTGGTGACCAGGTGTTGAGGCTACGTTGGTTATTTTTTGGGGGCTGTTTGGGTTGTTGCAGAAGTGTCGCAACGAAACCCAAAAAATAATCCAAAAATGTACCTCCAAAACGCTCTCCCTCATGGCCCTCGAGGCGTAAGACATTTTTCCCCGAAAAACAAAAGGCCCCCCCTAGCAGAGCTCTGAACTGATTACGATGTGATGATGACGATGATTCCAGCTTGACCCGCCCCTAACACGCCCTGCACCGCAAGCGGTGTGGGCGGATTTCACCCCAAATCCTACAAATTTTGCAGATGACACCCTTGAATAAAGACACTGTCATGCTTCATTGAACCGTTCCGCAGCATGTTGCTTGTCCTCTCTCTCTCTCTCTCGGTCTTTGTCCGTGGCTCTTGAGGATCTGCTTTGTGAAGACCGAGAAGCGGACGTACAGCATCAGGTGAGCTTGGACATGTTTGTGATAGCGATGGCCTCCAACCCAATAGCGGACATGTCTCTGATAGCTTTGAATACTAGTAGCGTCCTTGTTCCTAGTAGCGATGCCCTTGTTACTAGTAGCTAGAAGCTACTAGTAGTAATGCCAGGAGCTAATAGTAGCGTCCTTTGTCTACACATACAGAGGCGACAAATTCTTGCAAATGGATCACTCAGACTGCTTTGCTGCGGAACGCAGCAGCGCCAGCACCGGCACCAGCGCCGGTGGCCCGGGCTTTCGCATCGTTCACGAAAAGAACCGTAGAAAGCATTGCGGGCCAATGACTTTTGGGCCTTTTTGGCCGCAACTAACTAAGGTCAGCGGATATGGCTGAAGTGAAGCGTGCTGGAGAGGTGCGCTTTGGACATGGCCATGCACATACATTATCCATTTGATTCAATGAGGAACAGCAGCAGGCTCGGGTAGCAAGAGGTTTGGGAACACCTATGGAACTTCTGGCCTGATGAAGGAGGCTGCAGAATCCTTAGCCGAAGCTGCACTCTTGCGAGCTCAACGTCATGCAAGGGAGGCTGTACTGCGATCGTCCTTTTCGCTGCAGTCGGATACCTTTGAGCTTATGTTTGACAGGCCAAGCAATCAGCATGTTCTGCTGCAGGCCAAGCAATCAGCCGCACTGGCAAGATACGCCTATGCCCCTGGCTCAGACACATTAAAGGCTGCATTTTGAGCGAAGACTTTGCCGGATGGCATTTACAAGAACACATTTCAGCCGTGGATTTTGTGCACTATTGAAGAACTCCAAGCCATTTTTTGGTAAGGGCTGCATAAAACATTGCCTTTTGGATCCTTTTGAGTCTTCTTCCCGTTTCGGAAGGAGAAACTGACGAAGAGCCGAGACATGGCCGCGGAAGCAGCCGGACAGGCTGCCTTGGAGGAGCGCAGTTTCAAGACCTCGACAGCCCCTAGTAGCTTCCTTGCTCCTAGTAGCGATGCCAGGAGCCCCTAGTAGCGTCCTTTGCTCCTAGTAGTAAGGCCAGGAGCCCCTAGTAGCATGAATCGGTGTGAATTGTAAAGAGACCAAGACAGGATATTAATTTTCCCCAAACGGTGTGGTCACACTAGGGGTTCTTACGGTAGTTGTGAAGCACCGATGCCGGTGTCTAATCGAGGTGTTGCACCAGGGCGTTTGGCTAATTCGCTGCTATTTACAGTGCATTCATGCCTCTCGAAATCCTCGAAGTGCATTTCGACTGCGCAGGCTCGCAAAATCTGCTTGGGCGCGGCGGGTGCTTATCGCGACTGCACTCTCGTTGTGGTGCCGCGCGCATTTTCGGACATGGTTGTCACTTTTCGTGGCAGGCACAAGGAAAGCCTCGTGTTTTGGTGGTCCAAAGTCGACTTCTCGTGACAGGTCCAAGGGTTCGGAGCGGCTTTACTTCGAATACTTAGCTTGGACCGCTGCCGGGCTTGGACGCGCTCTGTGCTCAGTCTTCTTCAAGGAAGCTCCCTAGTGGACGTCGCTGGGCGAGTGGGATCGAGAAAGCGCCGAGCCCGCGACCACCGCGTCGAATCCGCGACCAGACCCCGATCAGCCAGGTAGTTCCGGATCAGCGACCAGTTAGGGCGAATCAGCGACCAGTCTCACGCCCAGTCATATTTGGTAGCAGCATTCGTTAATCAAGATTAACTAAGCATTGCGCCTGCCACGAAAGCGGCGCGTGTATGTCGACATAGTAGTTCTCATGCAACCGCCCCATCGAAAGAGTCTGCTTTGTTAGGGCATGAGCTTTCTCACGGCGACCAGTGCTTTTGGGAACGCGCTTCTTTTCACAGATGCTTGCGGTGTTTCGGTGTTAGTCTTCGCCGGCCGTCCGATTCGCTGGCGAGTCACTCCAACATCCAAAATGGATGATATGAGTAGGCAACACCCAGGAAGATTGAAGATAGATGCACAGGTGGAAGGTTGAGGTAAACAACAATGCTTATATACATGTTTTTGCATGGCGGCTAAGATTTGCAAGTTGCAAGAACTCAGGTGCGGTCTCCTGTTTGGGACTACTCCTCCTGTGGGTGATGAGTCACATCTTGTAACCTAGCAAAGTGTCCTTGTCACACCTGTTCGTGGCTGCAAACACTCATAAGGGCAGTTGTTAGGTGCCCCAGTAAAGTGCCTTTTGAAGCCTCAAACAACCTTCAGAAGGGCAGTTGACGATAGGTGACCCTCAAAACGAAAGCGTCATTTTGTTCACCCCTCTTCAATGCATCAACAAGATGATACTAGAGGGCGCGTGCAGGGAAGGCGGCCCAGCAAGAGGGGTCAAAGCTTACAAGGGCGAATGTCCTTTTCACTCCGACCCACAAGCTACCCTTCTCACACCTTTTCCAATGCGCCAACAACACATCCAAGGGGGGGGAAAACAGAGTCAGGACCTGTGAGTCAGGGAACCTGAACGACAGAGTCAGGAAACCTGGACACTGATCGAGGAAACAACAACAATAAGAAAGTGTAAAGAAATACAGATGAGGAGGAGTAGGATAAGAGTTTGTGTCGAAGACGAAAGGACATCTTCGTAGTTGGGTGATGAGAAAAGCTGCGTTTTATCAATGATGCCAAAAGGAAAAAGAAGGAGCAGAAAGAACGTGTTTGTGGCAGGGCCAACGAAATATGATTGTTTTCTTTCTATTTTTGACATACTTTAAGACTTATATAAAAGGTTGAAGGGCAGACATCTTGGACGGGTTCAAGAGGTTGAGAGGCTGCTTCTACATCATTTTTTACCGCGTATAAGTGAGATGGTTTGGTCTCTCTCTCTCTCTCTCTTGATTCTTTTTTTGTTTTTTGTTTTTGGCTTGACTTCTTTAGGGTTTGTTTTGGGTTTGGTTGAGGGCTTTGGGTTTGCTTTCAGGCTTGACTTCTTTAGGGTTTGTTTGGGCAGGGCTTGGCTTCTTTGGGGCTTGTTTGGGCTTGGCTTAGGGTTTGACTTTTTTAGGGCTTGCTTCGGATTGGTTTAGGGTTTGACTTCTTTTGGGTTTGTTTGGGTTTGGTTTAGGGCTTGACCCTTTAAGGGCTTGCTTGGGTTTGGTGTAGGGCATGATTTCTTTAGGGTTTGTTTGGGCTTGCTTCAATTGAGTAGAATTTTGGGTTCCGCGCTCGCGCCCACAGTCTCCAATCCAGTCAGTCTCCGATCTGGATTGGAATTTTGTTTGGTTTCCGCGCGGATGGTGTCAGATTCAGCCGGTCTCCAACCTGGAGTTGAATTTTCGTCGGCGCAGTTTCGTTGGCCCGTTTCTGGTCTCCGATCTCGTTTGCCTGGTCTCCGATTCCCATGTTTCTGGTCCCCAATCCAGTCTTTCTGGTCTCTGACTCCTGGTCTCCGATTCGACCGCCGCCCTGCTGAGTAGGGTCTTAGTTGAGAACCCTTCGCACAATTGATTTGGTTCCATTAGGTTCCTACATTTCTGAGGGACACGTTTATAACTTTATACCTATGGCGCATATATAGCTCTGAACCAGATGCTTCGGCACTTGTTTAAAAAATATTTGGCCGGTTGTTTCTATTGCAGGACGTTATCATAGATGCTCGAAAAGATGCAGCTGAAGCAGTGAAAATCAGAGAAGGCTTGCATCTCATGCGACCCACACGATTTAACCTGCGCCTAAGAGCTGTAGCCTGGAAAACCTTTGAAGGCTGGGAAGATCAGGCGCGTGCACTTGCTGCCCACAAGGCAGTTGCATGGCCCCCAGATGACAGAAAAGACAAATGACTTTGATGAACAAAGCCTTGACTTTGAAAGGTCGCTGCTTCAGTCTACAAAAAGGCAAAATTGCGAGATTTGAAGGTGGCAGAGGCTCCGCTTGAGAGTAGACCAAAGCTCCGTATTTTGAAAACAAAAGCTGAAGAAGACTTAAGCTCTGACTCAAAACTTACATTCATCTCCTTTGCCTCATCATCGGTATCCCATGCAGGGTTCTTGGCGCCAAACAGCTGGTCTCGTCCATTTTGTTCGATTGGACCCTTCTTATCAATTCTCATTCACTGTTCACACCTTTTCACCATGTTCTATTCCCATCAGATTTCCATTTTGTCTGTAGTGTATGCAGCTACACTTCACCAGGCTTGGGAGAAGCAGGCGACTGACCTCGCGCAAACAAGTCGGCAGTACGAGGAGTCCTCTTCAAGCATGGCAGAGCCATGCTCAACAGCTTAGTGCGAGATGACTATCCTTCGAATTGATATTGATATGGTTTTGATAGACCTACTGTATATTCCCATTCGAGCAACGCCAGTGCGAAACAAGCCAAAAAAGACTTTTTGTTCTTCAGCAGATAGCTAAGTTTCCTAAACATCTAGGAACCAAATGAATAGTGCGAGCGTGAGCTATCCTGCGTCCATATGTAGCGAGCTAGTAGGTACTAGCTACCTCTTCTACTAGCTACCTACCTCTACTAGCGGCCTACCCCCCCGGCCTTCCCACCGAGTCCGCAGACAGTTTAATTTGTTTGACTGCAGGAGTATGCTGTGCAGCAGGAGATGAAGTCGGGCTCTAAGTCGAGTTATGTGGCAAAGGGAGTGCAAAGTTCTTGTTTGCTCCAGATTTAACCTCCAGCCACAACTTTTGGAGAAGACTTCGTCAAGTCTGGGAATTCTAAATTGCGGCATGGCTCAATAGTTTCAGCGTTGCTTCCTGATTTCTGTGAGGGAGAAGAAGATAAAAGCGGAGGTGCGAAAGGCCAGCCAGAAGATCCATCCAAGAACGTTAAGTGAGTTGAATCAAACGGTAAGATGCAAAGATGTGCTGCTGAAGCAATCTGAAACACTCAAACACGCTTTGCTAGTGACCTTTGAACTGCATTTGCTTGTCGTTCTTTGCACTTTGCAAAGGGAGACACTTCACGACGTTCTGAACTCCAAGAAGTTGAGGACTGCGCTGCAAGCAGACTTTCTTTTTGTCGTTATTTTTCCGACCTTGGATCGGCACCCCGTCAGGTGGAGGTGAACGAAGGTGTTGACGCTGCACACCGATATGAGGAAGAGGCAGACGTTTGGAGACGAAGCATTCACGGGAAATTGCTTGAGGCAAAGGAAATGCCAGTGTGATGCCTTGGTGCAGGCCCAAGCAGCTCGCAAAGAAGCTGAAGGCATCCGTCGGGAGCCCAAACAAACCTTTGGCAGAAAAACTGATAAGGGGAGCGCCTAGTAGCGTCCTTTGCTCCTAGTAGTAAGGCCAGGAGCCCCTAGTAGCGGCGTCCTTGCTCCTAGTAGCGATGCCTTTGCTCCTAGAAGCTTCTTGCTCCTAGTAAGGAAGAAAAGAATCTTACTTCGCCTTGTTGCAAGGTTTGATTGCCTCTGAGGTGCCAATTCCTCTTGGTACGACCAAGCTGAAAAGGCTGCTGCAGCTCACACCTTGCAGCTTGGCTTTTCCTTTACCAAAGATTTGAGTGTATCACAAAAGCTGCTTGGTCCTGCTTGGATTTATCACACCAGCTTTGAAGAATGAACCTTGGCCCAAGACGTGGACCACTTTTTTGAAAACTCTCGTTTTCAAAAGCCTTTCGTCAGAAGCACTCCACATTGCAGACTCTTTTGATTTAGCAGAGCTTGGCGAAAGAGTTGCTGATAGAGGATCTTGACGTCACTAGAGCTCTGACACTTGTGGTGCGAAAGCCTTTTTCACCCAGCATGCAAATCTTGTGTACAAGTAACAGTATGCCGCCTGACCACATTTCCACTTCTGTAGTCCCAGGCCTACTCTTTGAGTATTCATAGCGAGTCTTGGTACGGCATCGGGGTTGGCTCGGTTGCTTCAACTCTGAGGTATGCTGAGCTTCCCAAGAGTGTGATCCCTCCGCCTTTGCCTCCACTTCCCTAGACGGCAAAAATGCCAGTGGCACTGAGAAGTTCAAAAAGCAAACTCAGCCATTTCTAGCCAGTTGCTTTGAATTGTTTGTTTGACTGCAGAAAATCTTCCAAAGTGTGGCCTTTGGCTCATTTCAGCTTTTCAACATGTTAGAGAGTCCATTTTTTGTGGCGTTTGATGCAACAAAGTTGAAGCTATCCAAAGCAGCAGGACACCACTTTAAGGAGATCATCTCACATTTCAGAAACAGACAAAGAACACACCGCAGAATCACGTGTGATCACGATCTGGTACACCGGGTATAAACCAATCAGTATTGTAACTACCACCAGACCTAGCCACGAGCATGTCATGGCCCTTGGTTCGAGCCTCTTTGGATGATTTGCTGCGGGAGTGGCTCGGAGACGCAAAAACAGGAAAACACACATCCTACGTGTTTGAATGCAAGAAGCAGCTCCGATGTTTGTTGATGGATCGTCCAGTGCAGTTACTATTTTGTCAAGTTTGAGAGATGTCAATTAGGATGTGAGACCTTCCCCCCCCGCGAGAGAGAGAGAGAGAGAGCGCGCGCGGGCTGTGAGCGGGCTGTGTGCAAAAGGCACCGCGAAGCCACTGCGGCCCTGCGCCAACGCCTAGCAGAGGAGGCGCAAAGACTTTTTGTGGGACGACTCTTTTTGCCTAAGTTCTTCTTTCGAACGTTTCTCTTGAACAAGTGAAGAATTGTTTTTAAGAATTTTGAATACCTCGTCCTACTCCTCACACTTTGCGAATCGGAAGAAGAACCTTTCTTTGAGAAGACTGGTTTTCGTCGCGGGATGCAAGCCAATCTCAACGAATTGGTTTTCGTCCTTGAGGCCCTCGATGACGTGTGGCTCTTGCGATACGTTTTGAGCTTCCGGGACTGGCTTTGCTTTTGGATTGGCGTTGCTGGAAACACCAAGAGATGGACATAGACAGATACAAAGGAGGCTAGCAATGGCAAGCAAGCACAGTGAGACAGGAACCCAGTATAGAACTTTGTTATACTTTGTTCTAAGGACTATTCTAGTGTTCGTTGGGCAAGAGAATCCCAGTGCCGTGCATCAACGTGAGTATTTGGACTCGACGTCCACCCAAACTTGGCCTCAAAAACAACCTGTTCAACGGGAAGTCTCCACCAGATCCGCACAAGAGCCACAATATGTCCAAATCATACGAAAGGCCAAGCTGCTTCATCGCATGTATTTGGTGTATTGCCCAAGGTTGGTCTTCCAAGCCGGGTATGAAAGATATCGATATCTCCGTGTGCACAAGTGATCTTTCAGGTGATCCCACAAGTTGGTCAGGTTATGTTCTTCGGTTGATGACGGGAATGACCTTTCTAGATCTGTCCGTTTCAGGATGATCTGCCTGGAGCGGCTCAAGCAGCTAGAGCAGCCCTTTCTTGGCGACGGGAGAAGCGAACAGTTTCACTTGACAAGTTGAACTGCAAAACATGTTACACTTGACAAGTGAATAGTAACAAGAAGCTAGTAGAAACAAGTGCCACGCTTCTAGTAACAGGTGCCTTAACTACTAGTAACAAGAAGCTAGTTTGTTGAATTGAAATTGTGACCTGAGCAGCTCTTTGTAACTTGCAGCCGTGAAACGGCGTCTAGGAGAATTCTGGCATTGTGGAAGCTGCCAAATTACGTCAAGCGACTTGGTCCATAAGAGGCAACTGTCCTACTAGAGGAAGCAGATTACAAATCAAAACTGCAAAGAGGACACAGGAATTCTTGACTTTAGGATTGCGCCACATATTTTCGACTTCAGGGTGAGCCTGTGCAAGTCACGAGGTTAGCAACATTGTTTGCAGCTGCGCATAGACTGTTCGGCCCTCCGATGTTATGCTTGGAAGGGCATCACTGCTACGGCAGTCCTTGCACGAAACATTCCGAATGCTGACTCTGGTGCTGAGGAAGTTGTGAAGGAAAACGAATGGTTGCATGTTGCCTGTGAATAGGGTGTCTTATCTTGATCAGCTTTCTTTTGAAGGCTTCCACTTCCCTCATCCTTAGCTTGTTGTGTTGCAAGTGTTGTGCAAGGATGACACAAGACAAATGAACGCTTGGTTGCTGACTTTGATGATGAGTCAGCAAAAGGATCGATAGGTCTGAGTATTCTGTACGAATGTTGTTTTAACTTCTTTCTTCTTCCTCTCAATTTCTTTCTTTTCTGCAAGAGTTCAGAGGCAAGGCAAAACACGTGGTGACAGTATTTAGACGGTTGGTTGTGTGCTGGATAGATGAGTCGCTTAATTTTCAATCCTTTTTGGAGTCTTCAGTTGGCGCAAATGTTGCACAAGGATGACAGAATACAATTATGAACGCTTGGTTGCTGACTTCAGTGATGAGTCAGCAAAAGGATCGATAGGTCTGAGTGATTTGGGTTCATCCATTGTTTGTTTGGTTTTATCCTGCTCTGCCATTTGCCTGCTGCAGGGCTTCTTCTGCACCAGGTCAGATGCAGTGCCACATTGTCTTCAGTGCAATGTACTGACTGTAGCTTCCACAAAATGTGGCTGCAGTTATCGCTTTCTGCATTACATCAGTTGTAATTCCTGACGCTTCGCGCCGACCGCCGCCCACACCTTTTTTTTCGGTCGTCTGGGGAAAGACTGCTGGAGTGGACAGGGGAGGTCGGGAGTGGTGTCCAAAGAGATGGCTTGTTTGCCGCAGCGTCTATGGCCATGTTGCGGCTGAGTTACGCACAAGTTCGGTCGTTTGGTGGCCATGTTAAAGCCAATTCAGGCTCCAAGTTCGACCGTTTTGTGGCCTTGCCCCCGCTTGGCTAGTCCACATTACATCATGTCAAGGCTAGCTTGATCGTTTGGTGACCCTGTGTTGAGGCTACGTTTGTTTTTTTT